TAAGTAAATGTTATCTTAAAATGCTGCCGTTCTTTGAAAGAACATCTTCATTAACTAATCCTAGGTAAAAAAGAGCCACAAGTGCTGCTCCTTGTTCTGCAAATTTTTTATTCTTTTCCCTATAAAAAAATTAATTAAGTTATTGTTTAACACAAATAAACAAAAATTTTAAAGTTACCAAAATGTTGAGGTGTACTTCTGATTCATAACAGTTACAACTGATCTAAATAATTTGTCTTCATTGATGGTTTCATATTTTGGATTATCATATTTATTTTTATTGCACCAACTGAGGAGTCTAGTCTTTGGTAATTCAGTGTCTTTTATATAATTTGCTCTTATAAAGGCACATTGCATCTCATTAACACTATCTTCAAGATCTGTTTTGAGTCGTTTAGGTGTAGGATTAAATAGATCAGGTCTAATTTCCCGTCTACCCAAGTTACCTTTTAATTGGTAATCTAATTGTTTACTATGGCAATATTTATCCATGTTCCAGATTGCACTACAGTAAATTAATATGTATTAGAAATGATCATATAAACTTAAGATTTCAAATAAATATGGCTACCATATCTGTTCTAGTGTCTGGCATTCCAAAAACTTCTTTCCTCTGGGAGTTTCTTGGAGAGATTTAAGCATATTTTGAACACAATATTTTGTATTGCTGGGCGAATTGTCATAATCAACTGCACATTTTAAATACTTAGTTATTACAGTGTCCAAGTCTTCCATACCTTGTTTTCTAAATATAGAACAATTTCCTTGAGCAACTCTTGCTACCATTACACTAGAACTACCACACTCTTCTTTGAATTTGAAAATGTCCTTATAACTTTCGATTTCTCTGGAACCTCCACTAAAATTAGAATATTAATTAACAAATATACTTAGTCATAATTGTTATGTTAAAAGTGTACTAAGCAATTACTTTGCAATGACTGGAATTGTGAGGTTTTCTGCAATCATTCTAATAGTCTCATTTCTATTTTGGTGTTGGGGCCTTTCAGAAATAGTTCTTCCATGCACTCCTAAAGCTGATATGCCTGTAGAAGCTAGATCTTGAACCAAACGCAAAGTATCATCAATATTTTCAAGTACTCTAATTTTACATGTTACTGGAATTGATAAATTTTTTACTAACATTGACAGAATCAGTTTTGCTTTGCACGGTTTTGATAATAAAGCAGCACCCATGCCCCCTTTCAATGAAAACTCCTTTGGACAACCCATATTTATATCAATGCCTGCTATATCGTTTTCACTACAAAGTATTCATTAATTATTCTTAAATAGTACTATTGGATCTTGAGTTTTTTACATCATCTTTGCTACTTTAAGAGCTCTTTCAGGATCACATGTACCCAGCTGGACAACAACTTTGTCTTTTTCTTTGGCACATGTCCTAAAAACTACAGTGCCATCTGATTTATCTAAATAATCTATAGTTCCCAAAGCATCTGGAATATTTGCATGTATTTAAAATCATGTTATAAATTTCTCTTGGTTGCATACTAACCATTTATTCGCCGTAATGAGCGTAAAAACTTCCAGTCAATTATTTCTTCTGTGTAAACTATATCTGCCCCATATCCTAATGCTAAGAGTCTCATTGGTAAAGTTCCTACTCTAACCATTGGCGCAAGAATTATTTTATTTCTGTAGTCCAGTTTCGATTTTGTATCCATTTTAAGTAGTTGTAATCAGTTTCTTTGAAAAATGGGTCTTAAAAATGGTAAGCCAAATAAACAACTGTACACAACCTCAACATTTTGAAAGTGGGATTTTGTCAATTATTAAAAATTGCGTAATCTGCAAATGAGGTGATTATTATTGTAATTTTAATATTTTCAATAAGCAATTTTTACATTTCACCATGTTTTAAATCATTTCTGCACACAAAACATGAAACGAACATCACCTGACAAATACTTAACCTTAAATAGTGACCTAACCACCCAAACGTTAATTCTTTATATCTAAGCTAAAATATATTAAAATGACAATTATACAATAGTTAATTTAAAATACCATATTTCCATAATACCGTAAGATATATAACACAAAAAGTTCTGAATAAGTTACACGGCCATTGACATATCGATTTTTGGGTAAGGTTTATAACCCCTCAATTCAAAGTCTTCAAATATAAAGTCTTCTATTTTCGAAATCTCTCTTTTAATATATAGACACGGGAACGGTCTAGGTTTCCTCTTCAGTTGTTGTTGTAAAGGCGTTATATGGTTTAGATAAACATGGCTATCTCCTAACGTGTGAATAAATTCTCCAGGCTGAAAATAACCAAAGGATAATATAAAATGACCTTTTTTATCAAAAGTGCTACTAAAAGTACCTTCAACTTTGTTATATGAGCTATCATAACAGTCAGTAATGCATAACTGGCAATATTGAATGGCACTCCAAGACCCATATCAGCTGATCTTTGATACAGTAAGCAGGAAAGTTCTCCATTTGCAACAAAGAACTGCACAAGGCAGTGGCAAGGAGGTAGAGCCATTAAAGGTATGTCAATAGGGTTCCAGGCACACATAATAATCCTACGACTGTTTGGATTGTCCTTAATGTCTTTTATTACATTATTTAGTTGGTCAATGCCTTCACCACTGTAGTCAGCATGCATTCCTCTATATTCAGCCCCAAAGTGTCTCCACTGGAATCCATAGACAGGTCCCAAATCGCCTTCTTCCCTTTCTTTAAAACCTAAACCATCTAGAAACTCTCGAGAACTATTTGGATCCCAAATGTGAACATCTTTCTCTGCTAGCTCTTTTGAATTTGTGCTACCCTTAATAAACCACAGTAATTCTTCAACCACTCCTCTCCAAAATACCCTTTTTGTTGTAAGCAAAGGAAAAACGTTTTCTCTCAGGGAATAACGCATCTGTGCTCCAAAAATTCCCATTGTTCCCACCCCAGTACGGTCATCCCTTCTGATACCTGTTGTGATAATTTTGCTAATATGATTTAAATACTGATATTCTTCATGGCACTCATCTGTTTCTTCGTTTTTTAATAAGTTTGCACTGTTTCCAATATTTGGACTAGTATTTTCCTTTGCATCTTCTGTGTTATTCATTTTGAAACCGTTTAATTCCTAAACAACATTAAAGTAAATTTTACAGTTAGTGTAGTATGTTGGTGTAATACTTACTTTCTGTAGAAAGATATTACAAAAAAAGAAACGAGAGATCTTACCCTAATTTTTTGAGGTTTTGTAAATAATTTGCGCGGGAAATTGTTTGCATCTCTATTAAGTGCTTTCATAGGAAAAAAGTTTCTTCCATTACATCTCATCGTTATTTTGTTTTGTAATACTCGTAGGGTTAATGAGGTTAAATGTCCTTGAATAATATTATCTTTACGAAATAATATTTCTTAACTATAAAATTCAGGGTCTGTAATTTTGTTTACAATTTAAAGTTTTTTTTATTTTAATTAAACTNGTGCTAGATTTATAAATTATCATATTTGTCATACCGGAATTATTAATAAACTATCTTGTCACACAGGTGCAAAAAAACCCCGGAAAAAAATGTTAATATTCTACCATTTTATTGTGCTGTTCTTATTGTGTTAATTAAAATAAACGTTGGTTAAATTCATTTAATTTTATCACTTTGCAGCGGACATTTCAACTGTGTATGTTTATTGTAAAAGTGAGGTTAGTTTACTACTACTTCTGTATTATTCAAATTAATTTGACGTGTGTTATCTTTCAACAACGAATAAGTGTATTTATCTTATTAATTGGTTAATTTGCGACCAAGAAAGCTCCAAATTAAAACAAAAATGCGTGCAATAATTAGTTTTTATATTATTGGTTTGTCAGCAAACGTTTTTTCAAATGTTATTGAAAGTGGCGTTAATAATTCGAATAGTATAGTGCACCAAGGAAGATTTAAAAGGGGCTCAAAGAATACAATTTTTGACGATGGCAATTGTTCCATATTGAAAGAAATGTGTAAAAATGTTGCAGATGACGACATTCTTATATTAGAGTGTGTACAAAATTTAAAAATTAATCATCTTGTGAAATTAAATGAAAAATGTCAAAACATTATTTGGAGCCACACATTACAAGTATTAAACAATAGTTATATTAACGATATATTAACATCGGTATGTCGGGGCCAATGGTCTAACTGTGACAATAATGACAAGAAACCCTTATCAGTTCTAAAATGTGCAATAAAAAAAAAAGAAGATATAACATCTCCTGAATGTGTAAATACTATTGAACGATTTGAAAACTTGGCATTCAGTGATTTCAGATGGATATCGTCATTCTTGGAACATTGCGTTAACGACATATCTGCTCTAGAATGTGGCAGAGTTGATCCAAGCGGTTTTTCCCAAGCTGACACTCTAATATGTTTACAAAATAAAATATCAAGTGTTAGTTCAGTTTGCCAAGCTGAAGTTTACAAACTGGCTGAAATTCAGTCTGATAACATTAAATTTGACCGAACATTATATGTAGCCTGTGCAGAAGACCACATGAAATATTGTTCAGAATTTGTACCTGGCAGTGGCAGAGTTTTCAAATGTTTAATCCAACACCAACATGACAAATTATCCGATATGTGTAGAAATCAATTGTTAAGAAGAGAAAAATTAATTTCAGAGGATTATCGCGTTAGTAAAGGTCTAATGAAGGCTTGCAAGGAAGATATTCGCAAGAGTCACTGTAGAAAACAAGATCAGGATAAACATACACGATTAGCACAAGTTCTTTTGTGCCTTGAAAATTATGCTCACAATGGGACAAGAATAGATCCTGATTGTGAAATTGAAATGGCTAATCACAGACGTATGTTAATGGATGACTACAGACTGTCTCCTGAAATTGTTACCAGTTGTTCAGATGAAATACACAAGTTTTGTTCAGGACTGGAAACAGGTGGAAGGACCATACATTGCTTGATGGATCATGCAAGATTGAGAAACATAAGAAGAAAAATCAGTGATACATGTGAAAGAGCCGTAAGTCTTTTATTTGCCTATTAATAATAAATAATGTGTTTAAAAAAAATTATACAGTTAGAAGATTTAGTCAAAGAAACAGATGCTGGCGAAGATTGGCGTGTGGATCCCGTTCTTCATGAAGCATGCATACCTGTCGTTCGAATTGCTTGCAAGGACATTCGTGGAGGAAACGCCAGAGTTATGTCCTGCTTAATGGACACCTTAGGAACCGATCAAATGACTGAAGAATGTGAAAATGCGTTAATGCAGATTCAATATTTTGTCGCAAGAGATTTCAAATTGGACCCCCAACTTTATACAGCTTGCAGAGAAGACGCCGCAGCGTTTTGTCATGCGAAAAAAGAATGGGAAAAAACGGATAGTTATGATCCCTCAAATGGGCGAATTATTCTGCCATGTCTATATAGGTATGTTATTATTAAGAAATAGTTCCGGTTTGTTTTCTTTTCAACTAAAAATAATCGTTATACATTTTTTAAATATAGATATGCTTACTCTCCCCAAAAGGACATGCAACTTAAACCCAAATGTTTAGAGCAGATACGAAGGGTTATGCGTCAGAGAGCAGTTAGCGTCGATTTGCAGCCAGAAATCGAAGAAGTTTGTCTAGAAGACTTATCTCTCTATTGTTTTGATAAGACCAAAAAAGGTGAAGAGATAAAATGTCTCCAAGACAACCTGGACGATCTACAGCAAGCATGCAGGATTTCAGTGTTTAATTTCACGAAAATTGAAGCTGAACATGCAGAAGTTAATCCTTATATAATGACCTACTGTAGAAAAGCCATAGAAATTCACTGTGCTGCCGAGTTCAAGCACGATGAAGGAGACGTTATGGAATGTTTATTTGCTCACAAAAACGACCCCGTCGTAAAATCAAATCCCAAATGTCGCGTTAATATTGAACATTTTCAAATATTAACTCTGAAAGATTATCATTTTTCATATAAATTTAAAGTTGCTTGTAAAAGCGACGCAATGAGGTTTTGTCGCGACGCCAAGACCAAAAGTGCCGTTGTCGTTTGCTTGAGTGAAAAATATAGGAATGATACTCTGAACGGTATCAAAAGCAATATTAAAAAAGAATGTCGACAGCAACTAAAAGCCCAACTCTTCCAGATAAGGGAAAATATTAACTTCGATCCACATTTGAAGGCTGCATGTGAAAAAGACATTTCTCGTTATTGTTCAAATGTCGATGCAGGATCAGGGCAGGTCAGTGTATCTTTTTGTTGTCTTTGGAACAGTTGACTTGCCCTAAAATTATATACCATGTAAAATTGTATTATGTTTTATTTCACATTCTAGATATTGGAATGCTTGCAAGCAGTAGAAGAAAAACTCACCGATACATGTCACAAAGAAGTGTTCAAAGTGAAAATGCAAGAACTAACTGATAACGCTGTCGATTACGTCCTCTTAACAACGTGTGCTGATACAATCGATCGCTTTTGTCCACGAACTGATAAGGAATTTGTTCTAGAATGTTTAAAAGTAATTCTTATGATTTTTCGTTTTTTTTTTTTGACACATAAACTACCTTAAATTTTTTTTTTAATTAAAATTTATCTACTTCTTACCATATATCACTTTATTTTGAAGTAAATCATATTTTTTAGAGACACAAAGACGAATTAGAATTCGGAAAGAAATGCTATACCATAGTCACCCGTCGTACTAAAGAACAATTTTCGGATTTTCGTCTGAATCCATCTTTACAAGAAAATTGCCATCAAGATATGAACACACACTGTTTTGATGTGTTATCACTGGCTAAGCCGGATCAAGAATTAAATGGAGCAATGATTAAGTGTCTCAAAGTGGCCTTCAGACAATCCCGTCTGACCGATCTGTGCGCGAAAGAAGTGACCAATATTTTACGAGAACAAGCCCTCAACATCGAACTAAACCCTTTGCTCCGGGTCCTTTGCAAACACGAGCTATCTACCATATGCAAAAATCACGAATCTGCCGAAGAATGCCTCAAAAATGCTCTCCTACAACATAAGGTTCCCACCTTGGAATGTCAAAATGAAGTTGCTAATCTGATTGAAGTGTCTCAAGCTGATATCCATGTAGATCCTCTATTACAAAAGGCGTGTGCACTTGACATCCTGAAGCTCTGCAGCGAAGTGCCCCAGGGAGGAGGAAGGCGTAAGTTGCATGTTTATTTTTCTTTTTATTACATTTATTGATCGCTATCGATTTATGAAATAGTGCATATGATCGTATCACTTTCAGACATAAAGTGTTTGAAAACGTTCATGTCCGATTTAACTTTTGAATGTCGAAATATGCTGACGAAGCGCTTAGAGATGTACAAAAGTGCGGAAGGGGTATGTAGGGTGTAAGTTTAAGAGATTTTCCCGTGTTATAACTCAAAATGAAACCGTTATAGGTGTTTCCAATCGATGGTTTGCAGGGTCTCTACTCTCAGGTTGCAGTATCTCCTGCAAAAAATTACTTATTTATGGTCATGTTTATGGTGATAGGTTCTTTCTTCATCGCAGGATTGTTCTGTGGCCGTGTTTCAAATAAACGTAAAATTAGTAAAAATAAATGATTCTTGTTAAGTATTAGCGTATGAAAATGAGGGTACTTTTTTTACTTTTTAAATTAAGAAAATTAATTGATTTCACCATCACTGAAGTACTAGTCAATAATGAAGGCATAGAGGATTTTCAGAATATTAATTGAAATTAAAATTGAATCAAGAATTTATTTCAATTGAGGAAAGTTGTTTATTTTTAAAGTGATTATTTTTTGCAATCTTTTTATAAAGTCATATGACCTTTATGTGTAAAGTGTAAATTCGGTGTGTGTAATTATTAAAACGTGTAAATGACTGTTGGTGGACCATACACGTATTATTTGAATGCACATACATTATCTTTTTATATTGAAATTTTAATGTTTTTTTTATTGGTACTTTTAAATCATGAATTTAATTACGAAATAATATATTAATAGGGTAATTTTTTACTGTAAATAACTGTAAATACATATTTGAAAGTTTTCATACACAATAAAAGCAATTCAGATTGTTATCCAATTACCATTTATTAATTAATATAACGTAAGTAATTTACACTTCCTCTTAAAAAAATAATTTACAGTTTATTTCAACTAAGTAAATGTTATCTTAAAATGCTGCCGTTCTTTGAAAGAACATCTTCATTAACTAATCCTAGGTAAAAAAGAGCCACAAGTGCTGCTCCTTGTTCTGCAAATTTTTTATTCTTTTCCCTATAAAAAAATTAATTAAGTTATTGTTTAACACAAATAAACAAAAATTTTAAAGTTACCAAAATGTTGAGGTGTACTTCTGATTCATAACAGTTACAACTGATCTAAATAATTTGTCTTCATTGATGGTTTCATATTTTGGATTATCATATTTATTTTTATTGCACCAACTGAGGAGTCTAGTCTTTGGTAATTCAGTGTCTTTTATATAATTTGCTCTTATAAAGGCACATTGCATCTCATTAACACTATCTTCAAGATCTGTTTTGAGTCGTTTAGGTGTAGGATTAAATAGATCAGGTCTAATTTCCCGTCTACCCAAGTTACCTTTTAATTGGTAATCTAATTGTTTACTATGGCAATATTTATCCATGTTCCAGATTGCACTACAGTAAATTAATATGTATTAGAAATGATCATATAAACTTAAGATTTCAAATAAATATGGCTACCATATCTGTTCTAGTGTCTGGCATTCCAAAAACTTCTTTCCTCTGGGAGTTTCTTGGAGAGATTTAAGCATATTTTGAACACAATATTTTGTATTGCTGGGCGAATTGTCATAATCAACTGCACATTTTAAATACTTAGTTATTACAGTGTCCAAGTCTTCCATACCTTGTTTTCTAAATATAGAACAATTTCCTTGAGCAACTCTTGCTACCATTACACTAGAACTACCACACTCTTCTTTGAATTTGAAAATGTCCTTATAACTTTCGATTTCTCTGGAACCTCCACTAAAATTAGAATATTAATTAACAAATATACTTAGTCATAATTGTTATGTTAAAAGTGTACTAAGCAATTACTTTGCAATGACTGGAATTGTGAGGTTTTCTGCAATCATTCTAATAGTCTCATTTCTATTTTGGTGTTGGGGCCTTTCAGAAATAGTTCTTCCATGCACTCCTAAAGCTGATATGCCTGTAGAAGCTAGATCTTGAACCAAACGCAAAGTATCATCAATATTTTCAAGTACTCTAATTTTACATGTTACTGGAATTGATAAATTTTTTACTAACATTGACAGAATCAGTTTTGCTTTGCACGGTTTTGATAATAAAGCAGCACCCATGCCCCCTTTCAATGAAAACTCCTTTGGACAACCCATATTTATATCAATGCCTGCTATATCGTTTTCACTACAAAGTATTCATTAATTATTCTTAAATAGTACTATTGGATCTTGAGTTTTTTACATCATCTTTGCTACTTTAAGAGCTCTTTCAGGATCACATGTACCCAGCTGGACAACAACTTTGTCTTTTTCTTTGGCACATGTCCTAAAAACTACAGTGCCATCTGATTTATCTAAATAATCTATAGTTCCCAAAGCATCTGGAATATTTGCATGTATTTAAAATCATGTTATAAATTTCTCTTGGTTGCATACTAACCATTTATTCGCCGTAATGAGCGTAAAAACTTCCAGTCAATTATTTCTTCTGTGTAAACTATATCTGCCCCATATCCTAATGCTAAGAGTCTCATTGGTAAAGTTCCTACTCTAACCATTGGCGCAAGAATTATTTTATTTCTGTAGTCCAGTTTCGATTTTGTATCCATTTTAAGTAGTTGTAATCAGTTTCTTTGAAAAATGGGTCTTAAAAATGGTAAGCCAAATAAACAACTGTACACAACCTCAACATTTTGAAAGTGGGATTTTGTCAATTATTAAAAATTGCGTAATCTGCAAATGAGGTGATTATTATTGTAATTTTAATATTTTCAATAAGCAATTTTTACATTTCACCATGTTTTAAATCATTTCTGCACACAAAACATGAAACGAACATAACCTGACAAATACTTAACCTTAAATAGTGACCTAACCACCCAAACGTTAATTCTTTATATCTAAGCTAAAATATATGTTTAGCTTTACTTATTCGTACAATATCACCTACTTGAAATTTAGGTTTCCCATCTACCATTTTAATGTGATTGTAAGCGGTATCAAGCAAGTACTTTTCATTTTGTTTTTTTATCGCTTTCGATGGTGTCATATTTATTGTTCTATGTATGGTACCGTTGTATTCATTGACAACGTCATCAATTACGTCTATCCACCGATATGAACCTCTATAATGAAGTGCTTTAAATAATTTAGTTTTGATAGTTCTAATTACACGCTCAACAATGGATGCCTTTTTTACTGAATAACTACTATAATGATTAATTTTATATTTTTCCATTAAAGATTTAAAGTGACGATTGTAATACTCTTTACCATGGTCAGTTTGTAAATTTTGAGGAAAGGCATGGAAAGTTTGAAGGATAGAATGCATTGCTTGTGTAACCTCATTTGCCGATTTATCTTTTATTGGTCGTACCCACACATATTTTGAAAAACAATCTATAACGATCAAAATAAATCTATAATTCTCATTTTCTTTTGCATAATCTTGCATATCAATTAGATCACTTTGATATAAGTCAAGTAAGCCTTTAATTATTACACGTCGACGTTGAAAAGTTTTTCTAGCAGGTCGATGAATTTCATGAACCACACTACGTTTTACGTTGTTTTCTTTTGGGGACATTATAACATTGGTTAATTGAAACTGTATGCCTCATCTATCGCTGTCGCTGCTGCTGTTGCTGTTGGTTCTATCGTTGTTGCTTGTTATTTTCCTCTTTTTTGAAATGTATTTATACAACAATCTGTACAATGTTTTCTCGGTGGGGCAGGTCCGTCAATATGCTCTGAGCCCCTATTGTAATGCTCGAAACACGGGTATTCTTGTTTGAATTCTTCGTCATCCCTTAAATGCTTCGGCAGTTTGTCCCACGCATAATAACGATCCATGTAATTAATATGATCCAATAGATACTGTCTTGGTAGAACCGCTATCTCTTCAGTCGTTAAATGTTTCAATAACCAATTTTTCTCTTTCAATTTTTTCAACACTTTACTAATATTAGATATTTCATTTCTTATCTGCTCCATGGTATTTCTTATCTGTTCCACGGTACTCATTATACTGAATTAAATTGAAAAGAACATCCTAAATGTAGGTGTCCTAACGCTGACGCTGCTGTGTTATTTTTAATAATGGTAATAGTTTTGTTGTTAGGGGGGGTGTTACTTAAATTAATTGCATCCTTAATAAAAGTCTTCTATTCTTGCACCTGACGTGGCATTAATTCTTGATGTTGATCATGTATTTTATTTATTTGTTCCTTAATAAAGTCCATAAAAACAGTTCTATAATCATCCAACATTCTTAAAACAAATGTCTTTGTATTTTCTTTTTCTCTTTGGAAAACTTCATCAATTATCTGCTCTATTATAGTTTGTAAACGATCGGTGCTACTTGCAATTTTAGAATCAATCATTGTTTGTACAGATGCAATAACATGATCGATCCTGTTCTGAACACGTTGTAACTTGTTATCAAAGTAATTTTTATTNATAAGAAAAAAGTATTTTCGATATTGAAAACCTTTATTTTGTTTTAAATTAAATTAATAAATAGGAATTTTTTTGGTAATAGTTTTACGACACATATGACAAGTCTTTAACGTATCTGCGCACTTGGAGCAAGTTCCATGTCCACAAAGGAACACGATGTTCCTCTTCCGCTCCATACAAATGCTACATGCATGGCTTTCTTCAATTTCTGCTATCTTGCATTCCAAATATCGCATTCTTTCCGCACTTGGCTGTCTACTTTTCGCCGGGATTACCCTTCCATCTTTTGTGACGCGCTTTTGAACCATTAAACCACATTGTAAACATTTCTTCATTCTAGAAGCGCAGTCTTCGCATGCTGGCTTGTGTTGACACGGTTCCAATCTGACGTTTTCTTCCGATAATTCGGAACATACCAAACACTCTACAGGTTTACTGAGACCTAAAATCAGTGAAAATTTTAGTTATTTGAAATAGTGGAGGAAGGATATAAATTAAGAAAAAGATACAGTAACATTAATCATATCAATTATTTGGAAATTATTGCTATCATCATTATCATGCAATATTATTTTCGAATGATATTAGTCATATTTGCTAATTAAATATTTTCAATTCATAGACGAATAAAAGTAAACTATACGTTTCTGAAAAAGGCTAAAAACCTAACTCTTGAATTTATTATATTTTTCTTTAGGTTTAAATAAATGACATTGCTCTTACTTATTTCATTCTGATACTGATGTCCTTTATGTAATGGAGATGTATTTAGAGAGGTGTTTGCTCCATCGTCGAGTATTTCGACCCTGCTCTCTTTCCTGCTTCTGTGTCCTGTCGCCTTAGTCGTATCGGTTTTTGCGGGACTTCCCTTGGGTGTGTGTTCAGTCAAATTATATCCCTCCATAGGATTGGTCAGGCCATTCAAACTCAAACTATCCATATTTAATGTTTCCTGCTGCTGCTGTTGTTGTTGTTGTGCTTGTTGATTACTGTCGACGTTCGGTTTGTAACTCTTTAATTTTTCTTGTAAATCCGCCTCAGGCAAAAGACTGAGAGCAGACTGTCCCTTCGCATTTACCGCATTCATGTCGATGCCTTCCTGAATCAAATAGCAGCCTATGGCTAAGGCTGTTTTGTATTCCGCGACATCCATCAAACTTTGATAAATCTCATAAATTGCAGGACAGTCTTCTTCTGATACTTCAGTATTAATGTGTGCTCTTTTAATAACTACCAAATGAAGAGCAGAGTCTCCATCTTCATCTTTTGCATTTATGTTCGCTTTTAGTTTAACTAAGAGTTCGATAACCCCGCAGTGACCTACAAGAAGGTATTGTAATATGTTCCTAAATATAAAATGATTTACTCTATTCTTTTTACCTTGACTAACAGCCAACAGAAGGGCCGATTGGTTCCTGTTATTTCTTAAGTCTATGTCTGCTTGTCCTATCCTGACTAGAATTTCGACAACATCCTTGTGCCCGTTAAGGGCCGCCAGATGAAGAGCAGAAAAACCGTCGTCCTTTTTTATGTCAACTAATTGACGTGCCTGAGCAAGTAAACGCTTCATTGCGAATTTCTTGCCCTTGAGAGCAGCTTGATGGATTACATTAAAGCCCCGATTGTTTCGAAGAGTAAAGTCAGTTGCTTCAAAAACCAAATTATAATAAACAAAAACTTCTCGTTTATTATTTATCATATATAAAGGACGTAAATAAATACACACCTGGTGTAGATGCAAGTAATTCAATGACTTGGAAACTATCTTTACCGATTGCATCGTGTAATGCCGTGTCTCCGTATAAATCTCTGCAGTTAGGATCTGCCCCAGCTGCTAGCAAAACTTGTACGCAACGTGCAGGCTGCTTATGGGCTGCTATATGTAACGCTGTGCAGCCACAACGGTTTGCAATGTTCAATTCAGCTCCGGCTTTTATTAACAAGTCCAGCACCTGTAGAAAAAATACTACAAGTCGCGATTCAAATGAACTTTACAATGAAAAAGGTTTACTTCTGGTTGATTGCCAAAAGCAGCATAATGAAGACAGGTGTCTCCATCTCCATCGCAGGCGTTAACAGCGGACCCGGCGTGCAGAAGTAATTGAACTACAGGAATGTGACCTTGATGTGAAGCAACTTGTAGAGAAGTCTTGCCCCCGCTTCGCATGTCTACCATCGTTTTCGGAATCTCTTTGAGCAATTTTTGTACTATTTCCAAATGGCCCTGGGCGGAGGCTCGAACTAGTTGATCGGCGGTACTATTGGCTTGATTATTGGCTATATCAGGGTTGTACCATTGCACTGAAACAGAAACAAACATATAGCTGTATTTTCTGATGTTATGAAGCAATTTTTACTTGACGGTTCTCTCCTGTGATTCTGATTGGCGTTCATGGTATTTGCCAATTCTGTAGCGCTGCCAGGTACTAAACGAACGCAATTAGGGTTCAATGTCCATGCATTACCGTCAAGTTGAACTCTAAGATCGCCATCAGAATAAACTTTAACAACTTTTCCAAGTTTACCAAGAGCCTAAAAGATAAAAATACGTTATCGTTTTATCTGATTAAGATCACAGCTGATAATAAAATTACATTTTTCATTATATCAATCCACTCTCCATGACCTTTTTGTAATTCCTTAACTTTTTCCACATCATTTAAAACGCTAACGATGTCCCCAACTGCAAAGCTGTTGACTTTGCAAAGTGCTGCCGGATTAAAGGTCCATCGATTATTACAACCCTCATACTGTACTCTTATGTCTCCCTTGTCAGTAACCCGGTGAACTGTTCCTGTTTTACCAACGTACTTCAAAAATAAAGAAATTAATCTTAAAATGCAATTAATGTTTTTTGTTGAAATTACTTCAGTCATTCTAGGGTTCCAGCCTCCATGCCCCTGTTGCATAATTTTTAATTGGTTTACATCAACGTTTACTTTAACTTTGTCCCCAACTGTAAAAGGTGGAGGACCTGTTAGGGGAGGTCTTGCTACGTTTTGTTCAATGTTTTGCCCTAAAAATTTGCAATTCTTTTATATCAGTATAGTGGGAATTCTAACAGAATGTTTACCTAAAATTGGAAGATGCTCAGGGTAATAGAAACCTCCTGAGGAAGATTCAATAAATTTGATATCACAATTTCCTTTATGGCCAAGCCTGTAAACGTTTGTTGAGCCAGAAAACCATGTTACATTAGCTACAGATCTACTACTTTCATTATCCCAACCCCTTATATCCAATACTTTGCCCATTTTTCCTGAACATTTAATTTTTTAAAAGTGTAATAACTTTTAATTATTAATATTATNCTTAGTTATTACAGTGTCCAAGTCTTCCATACCTTGTTTTCTAAATATAGAACAATTTCCTTGAGCAACTCTTGCTACCATTACACTAGAACTACCACACTCTTCTTTGAATTTGAAAATGTCCTTATAACTTTCGATTTCTCTGGAACCTCCACTAAAATTAGAATATTAATTAACAAATATACTTAGTCATAATTGTTATGTTAAAAGTGTACTAAGCAATTACTTTGCAATGACTGGAATTGTGAGGTTTTCTGCAATCATTCTAATAGTCTCATTTCTATTTTGGTGTTGGGGCCTTTCAGAAATAGTTCTTCCATGCACTCCTAAAGCTGATATGCCTGTAGAAGCTAGATCTTGAACCAAACGCAAAGTATCATCAATATTTTCAAGTACTCTAATTTTACATGTTACTGGAATTGATAAATTTTTTACTAACATTGACAGAATCAGTTTTGCTTTGCACGGTTTTGATAATAAAGCAGCACCCATGCCCCCTTTCAATGAAAACTCCTTTGGACAACCCATATTTATATCAATGCCTGCTATATCGTTTTCACTACAAAGTATTCATTAATTATTCTTAAATAGTACTATTGGATCTTGAGTTTTTTACATCATCTTTGCTACTTTAAGAGCTCTTTCAGGATCACATGTACCCAGCTGGACAACAACTTTGTCTTTTTCTTTGGCACATGTCCTAAAAACTACAGTGCCATCTGATTTATCTAAATAATCTATAGTTCCCAAAGCATCTGGAATATTTGCATGTATTTAAAATCATGTTATAAATTTCTCTTGGTTGCATACTAACCATTTATTCGCCGTAATGAGCGTAAAAACTTCCAGTCAATTATTTCTTCTGTGTAAACTATATCTGCCCCATATCCTAATGCTAAGAGTCTCATTGGTAAAGTTCCTACTCTAACCATTGGCGCAAGAATTATTTTATTTCTGTAGTCCAGTTTCGATTTTGTATCCATTTTAAGTAGTTGTAATCAGTTTCTTTGAAAAATGGGTCTTAAAAATGGTAAGCCAAATAAACAACTGTACACAACCTCAACATTTTGAAAGTGGGATTTTGTCAATTATTAAAAATTGCGTAATCTGCAAATGAGGTGATTATTATTGTAATTTTAATATTTTCAATAAGCAATTTTTACATTTCACCATGTTTTAAATCATTTCTGCACACAAAACATGAAACGAACATCACCTGACAAATACTTAACCTTAAATAGTGACCTAACCACCCAAACGTTAATTCTTTATATCTAAGCTAAAATATATTAAAATGACAATTATACAATAGTTAATTTAAAATACCATATTTCCATAATACCGTAAGATATATAACACAAAAAGTTCTGAATAAGTTACACGGCCATTGACATATCGATTTTTGGGTAAGGTTTATAACCCCTCAATTCAAAGTCTTCAAATATAAAGTCTTCTATTTTCGAAATCTCTCTTTTAATATATAGACACGGGAACGGTCTAGGTTTCCTCTTCAGTTGTTGTTGTAAAGGCGTTATATGGTTTAGATAAACATGGCTATCTCCTAACGTGTGAATAAATTCTCCAGGCTGAAAATAACCAAAGGATAATATAAAATGACCTTTTTTATCAAAAGTGCTACTAAAAGTACCTTCAACTTTGTTATATGAGCTATCATAACAGTCAGTAATGCATAACTGGCAATATTGAATGGCACTCCAAGACCCATATCAGCTGATCTTTGATACAGTAAGCAGGAAAGTTCTCCATTTGCAACAAAGAACTGCACAAGGCAGTGGCAAGGAGGTAGAGCCATTAAAGGTATGTCAATAGGGTTCCAGGCACACATAATAATCCTACGACTGTTTGGATTGTCCTTAATGTCTTTTATTACATTATTTAGTTGGTCAATGCCTTCACCACTGTAGTCAGCATGCATTCCTCTATATTCAGCCCCAAAGTGTCTCCACTGGAATCCATAGACAGGTCCCAAATCGCCTTCTTCCCTTTCTTTAAAACCTAAACCATCTAGAAACTCTCGAGAACTATTTGGATCCCAAATGTGAACATCTTTCTCTGCTAGCTCTTTTGAATTTGTGCTACCCTTAATAAACCACAGTAATTCTTCAACCACTCCTCTCCAAAATACCCTTTTTGTTGTAAGCAAAGGAAAAACGTTTTCTCTCAGGGAATAACGCATCTGTGCTCCAAAAATTCCCATTGTTCCCACCCCAGTACGGTCATCCCTTCTGATACCTGTTGTGATAATTTTGCTAATATGATTTAAATACTGATATTCTTCATGGCACTCATCTGTTTCTTCGTTTTTTAATAAGTTTGCACTGTTTCCAATATTTGGACTAGTATTTTCCTTTGCATCTTCTGTGTTATTCATTTTGAAACCGTTTAATTCCTAAACAACATTAAAGTAAATTTTACAGTTAGTGTAGTATGTTGGTGTAATACTTACTTTCTGTAGAAAGATATTACAAAAAAAGAAACGAGAGATCTTACCCTAATTTTTTGAGGTTTTGTAAATAATTTGCGCGGGAAATTGTTTGCATCTCTATTAAGTGCTTTCATAGGAAAAAAGTTTCTTCCATTACATCTCATCGTTATTTTGTTTTGTAATACTCGTAGGGTTAATGAGGTTAAATGTCCTTGAATAATATTATCTTTACGAAATAATATTTCTTAACTATAAAATTCAGGGTCTGTAATTTTGTTTACAATTTAAAGTTTTTTTTATTTTAATTAAACTAATAAATAGGATTTTTTTGGTAATAGTTTTCCGATACATATGATAAGTCTTTAACGTATTTGCGCACATAGAGCAAGTTCCATTTCCCCAAAAGGACACAATGTTTTTGCTTGCAAGGACATTCGT